ACACACACACACACACACACACACACACACACACACACACACACACAACACACACAATAATACACATATACGTTTTAAGATTCGAATTTTATTTAAGATTAAATTTAAAATTAGAAGTTAACAATGTTGAAAATTGTTAAAAAATTGTTTGTTTTGACGTTGTTTGGAAATGTAAAAATGAAACACTAAATTAAGTATAAGTTAAAAATGTTAAATGTGCATTTATAGCTATGGAAGAGCGGTGCCTCCTCACACAGGCTTGATAAGCTTAATAGGAGGTACCATCCACTGTTAATGTAAATTTAATTGTAAATTGAAATAAACATTTTATTTATTTATTTAAATTTACATGCGTTCCGCTTTGAGGGAAAAAGTATGGTCACGTTAGTATAAAGTCTTAGTCACTGATAAAGGTTTTTCAAGCCGGCTTAAGCCAATTTCGCTTAGACTAGTGGTGGGACCGTGAAACGGGTTTTTTCGTTTATCCGCAATCCCTTTAACGGGTTTGTACGTAGTAGGGCTTTCTTTCTGGAAATCTCGGTATAGAAAACTCTAGAGTTTCGACGAATTCGTGACATTTTCAAGTCGAGACTAATGTTTTCGGTCTCGGGAATATCGAACCTTTTGAGACTTAAGTCACTTCAACAGACCTCAAAAGTTGTGGAATTACATCTGTTTGCCAAGTTTTATTGAAATCGATTAACGGAAAGTAGGTGAAATCCTACTGATTCATCCCCTAATGTGTCGCCCTTAGAGGTGGAATTTTTTTCAAATTTGAATGAGACCACTACTAAGGTACCTCGTTTCCAACAAAAAAAATGAATCATCAAAACCGGTTCACAAATATCGTAATCACGTAAAATACAAACACACACACACACACACACACACACACAAGCACACGCACACGCACACGCACACACACGCACACGTACACGCACACGCACACTCGAATTGAGAAGCTCTTCCTTTTTTGAAGTCGGTTTCAAAAAAGAATATGTGAAGATTGAAAACCGATGATCTCGGAAACTACATTAAACGCCATTTGTTTCTTATGTGTCTGGTATAAAATGAAAATATAAATACTTTTAAATATAAAACTTTTTTCATAAATAACTTCGAACTGATAAAATTTTGAAAATATCACGTTTTGACTACCTAAATGCCTGGTCTATTAATGTAGAAACCTATTTTCGAAATAGTCTTAAAAATCTCGTTTTTTCGGTAGTTTCGAGACTGCACCAAACCTCCATTTTTTCCCCGGTACGTGGAAATGTAACGAGACTGAAAACCCTAGTACGTGGGTGGCTTATCTCCTTATCTAAGTTGCCATTTTATATACAGTGTTATCTACTATTGCTCAGGTACAAATTCGGCAGTAGTATTAGAAAATATGACAGCGGGAAAGAGATAACTTTTTTACAAAAACAAAACCGACCTCGAAAGGTTGCTTATCTACTTTCGCAGTGTTCCTCCAGTATAACTGAAATTCATCATGGAACTTCTCGTCAAAACAAACCATTTGAGCCCAAACACAAGGTAGCTGTTGTACACTGTTGAAAAGATCCTCTCATCCGTATGCCATTTCCATCGTCAGATCGACTCTAGGTCACCATAAGAGACCCGCCACACTAGCGTCTTTCGAGCGTCAGCGTCTTACCAACGCTCGCACAGTGTCGACACGTCAACCGCACGACCTCGGCACACTATGCAGCAGTCGTAGTTGCTTAGTGCAGGGGTACTACGTTGCGTCGGCGCCGCGGGGATGTATTGTCGACGCTAGCGATAGGACGAGTTGTCTTTTTTGACGTGACTGCTAACTCGAGTTGCAACTGCTCGCCGAACCGACCGAGTGAGAACGAATAGCCGACGCGCTGTATGAATGAAGTACTCGGTTCGGCGGCGGGCGGGGCGAGTCAACCGAGTTAGCTCGAGTTCATGGAAAAGAAATTCGAGTTGACTCGTTATAGGAGTAACCGAGTTTAATAACTCGACTCGCCCATCGCTAGACGACGCTGTGCTTGCGTTGGCAAGACGCTAACGCTCGAAAGGTGCTAGTTTTTTTTATAATTTCAAGTGACGGGACGAACAAGTCGTGTGACTGTTGTTAAGCTACACGCGTGTCCATAACAGTTGCAGTGTCCATAACAGTTGAATTGACGACAACCGTGACATGACTATGAGACCTGTAAACCTGGGCCCGTTTGTTTGGCAAAACAAATATACGCGATTTAAATCCGGAAAAATAGTTTCATTTCCTATGTGTAACAATTACGAAAACCTAAGAACTCGATATTAGGAACTTTTCAATTTAGTTTCTCCCTCACCGTTCCTCCTTCGATCGACTAGAACGTCCGGAACACTCCATCCTTATGACGTTGATATATTAGTATTTATGTGGTCTGTGTTGATATATCACCACTCGCACTAATCGCTTTGCGTCCTCCTGACGCGTACTGCAAAGGAATGGAATACTCTACGGCATCTATGTTTCCCGAAAAGTACAGTTACAGACTTCTTTTCACATAAAGCTCTCCAAATTTGACTATATAATTGATTTGACCTACAATAACATGAATTTATTATTATTATTTTTTTATTTTTACTTCTGAATGACATGACAGTAACTTATATTAATAGAATTAGCTTGATACTTATAACAATTTGTAAAAAATAAATTGGAATGTAATAAAATTTGCTAGGCAATTTTGGTAAAATATGAAAACTGTTACAATAGTTACCTTTTGTAAAACATATTTTATGCAAATTAATATCAATGTAAAAAACTTATTTTGTCTACTGCCCACTTGACGCATTTTATTGAAATGATCTTGCAGTCTTGAAGGCTTCATAGCTTCATTCGACTATGTTTTTAGACATAGAACGCACAAAGGCGACGATGGGTTTGTGGGATTTTCAATGAATCCGAAATTAATATATTCCGCACAGTACTGCCGTCTCTTCTTTTTTGCTTCCAACATTGTTTTGTTTTGAGAAATACGTAAGTAAGTGTTGAACTTAAGTACTGCTTATCTATTACGCGCGAAACCCCAAATGAAAATAAAATAAATACGACGTTGTTTATATAGGATTGCATAAGCAGCACGCACCGACGGGAATAAAACAATCATGCATAAACTCGTTTATCTCATTCGACGCTCAATCGCACGCAACAAGTAAGAACAAGTATTCTATGAACCAGCCGATTAATACAGGAATGCACAAATCGGGTTATTTAACAAAAAATTGTTAAAACATGATTGCCCGCGGTCTATTAAAATACGAAACTGTGTCTGTTGCCTTTTTATTTGTTTGTTTGTGTCTACTTTCATTTTGGAAACGGAGCGACCGATTGACATGATATTTATTTTATTTATTCAATAAAACAGGACAGATATATGAACTACACGGAGACAAATATCGAACCGAGTTAGTTTGAGCAGTCTCTTAATTAATATTAGTTGATATTCACAAGTTGTAGTCAAGAGTCGAGAGCTCACTCGGTGTTTAAGGGTCATATTCCAGAACTCTACTCAATGCTCAAGTCAGGATTTGAGTATGATTTAAAGCACTAGAAATCATACTCAAGTCCTTGCCATTAGGGCCGTATTTCCAGTGTTTGAAATCATAATCAAGTCTGCTCAAATTCTGACTTGAGCATTGAATAGAGTTCTGGAATACGACTCTAGGAGTGTTCCTAGATGAAATTACAAATCTCCTCCTAAGTCTCTACACAACGCCCCCATTTTTTTTCTGGGATTCTAGCCGCCCCCCTTTAGGCCTGCAGCGCCCACAAGGGGCGTTATGTTTTTGGTGCTCTATTGCCATAATATAAAGGGCAGGCGTTCGCACTTCGTAAAATTTTCAATCGTTTTTATTTTTATAACTAATATAGATAAGAAGCGTATACCTTTGATTCCCACAAATAGAAAAGTTCTTTTCAAAAGCATTCCGTGTATTTATTCTAAACAACCCCTTTAAAGGTTTGTGTACTCGACTACTTGACCCTTGTATTGTGTGACACGGCTAATAGGGACCCGAGTATCACTCATAGAACCGACTTTCTTTACAAAAATGAAGACAACAATCTATCACTATAAAGTCTATTGGTCAAAGAACTACATACATTACCTTATTTAATAGAAGTCATGAAATTTTAATAGTATGCGCTTATTACCAAGTGGTCGAAAATTCTCCACACAAATTTCACATGTTATTTATGTCAAACCGC